TTGTTTCCTAACCTTTCGCCAGCACCCGTGGCCGGCATCTTCAGAGTGGCGGAGGACAGAACGGGGCAGGTTTCGCTGGCGAAACGTTAGGAAACAAAACTTCAAGAACACGGCCACATAGCCCGGAAGACCCAGACCAGCCATTGTATGCCAGCCGTGAAAGCCTTCGACAATACATAAAAGCTAACATGTTTGAGCAAAATTGTAATGGCATAGGAAGCACTGCATCACACCACAGTTGTTCATAAAAGAATAGCCTGGTCCCTGAAGCTGGGCAATCCTTTTGTACCCTAGTAAGATTGCCCAGCATTGTCCTAAACAGATTTAGTGGGACCCAGTGGGCCCATACAGTAGAGCCAGGTTTACCTACCACAACTGCAGTGACAAGAATTGCATCTGCCCAAGCTCTCTGTTATTCGACTATTAAAGAAAATGGAATGATCTCCATGCATAGGTATCAATGACCTTACATGTTGGTCCAAGCTCAGATTATGAGTCAGTTTGAGTTTGGAGCCCCCGAGATCATAATTGAAAAAAAAATGCCTTTATTGTAAAAAGAAGACACCACCCCATTACCAATCAATTCATTTGGCATTTTGTGAAACATATGATGGTCAAGATTAAATTATTCTTTCAATGGCTTTCTAACAGATATGTTGATGTTATATTTCCATTCAGCATATTTCCTCTCTTAATAATCATGACTCAAGACTGACTTTGTTTGCTGTGACTTTCTGAACATAGTGCCCTTAAGGAGCTATATTCCCCAGATCAAAGTGATTTTGATCCTTTTTAACTCCCAAGGGCAACAAGAAAACAAGCAAGAATGCACGCAATTGTCCAGGAACCTACAACATTTAGTAATTATTTTCCTCAAATGAAAAGCTGCCAGAAAATGACAAGATAAACACGGCTGGCATGCTTTTGCATTAAACCAAGATTAATTCCTTCAAAGGCAAAAGAAAGAAAATAAATTATTGCATAGATCCATGCTACGACAAATGTTGGAAGCAAATATATGGGATTAACCCACAAAAAGCAGTAATTTGCTAAATATTCTGGAAAAGAAAGTCATCCAAAGGAGGACACTCAATACTCAAGGACAAGTACGTTCAGCAAAGCCATGCTAATGATACTGCAACGTTGTATAAAGCATGGATGATTTGTGGTTTTCCAAAAAAAACAAAAAAAGGAGGAACACCAATGTTATGGATAAACTGGAGGGTACAACCAAAAACTGTCACTGAGGAAAAGTTTTGCAATGATAAAAAGCAGTTTCATTCACTATCCAAGACCTTACTTGATGGTATAGTTGTGGTCTTAGCGCCGAGTTCTCAATCATAGTGTGAACCAAGATGATTAAAGGTTCATTCTCTTTCATCTATTTCAAATCAGGAGGAGCATACAGCAAACATCAGTTTACAGCAAGGCTAGATTTGAAAGACGACACTGTAAATATAGCCTCTACTTTAATTGTTTTCCATTAGTGCAGCAGTTTATAATTCCTCTCATGATTAGCAAATGGTACATTAAAAAAAAAAAGCCAGTTAAAACTAAACTAGAAAACCTATGAATTTAAACTAGATTGCTGTACATCCCATTTTAGATAAAGCAATAAATATCATTAATAAGATTTTAGAAAGCTTTCCAAGACAGAACACAATTAATTGAGATGGATAAAGTGCTATATTCATTACTCAATTCATTACATATACCTAGTTTACAAAGAATAAGACATGTGGTATAGCATAGGAAAAAAAAACCCAGTTTAAAAACTTGTCTGGGGCAAAATAGAGGTTTCTGGAGTCAATCTTTAAGATCTAAGGTGGCAACAGTGTGCCAACATAGAGATTGAATAAAGGATAGACTTCACTCAAGTTTTTCTCATCATGGCAATGTAAAGTAGCTATTTCTCCTCCCAACCCTTAGTGGGGCCACGTCTTGAGCTAAGATATCCAAACTTATGAAGTCTGGCCACCAAGAACTGTGGCTATGTTACCATTCCACAGTGTCAACTGCAATTAAATAAGTTTTTTTTAATGAATGCCAATTTAATTTTCATATACATTTTGCGACTTTCAATGTAACACTATAATATAAATATGAACAGTTTTTCTGAGAATATATAGCTAATATATTTACTTAGCTTCTACATACATCTACTTTCTGCTATAATAGCTTCCACTATTATTTATATTAGCTGCTTCTTAAACCATGTTTGTTTATTACTGCACTGATCAGTAATAAAGTTTTGGAAGTAGCCAGTAAGCCTGGTTTCTGAACATTTTCAATTCATTTAATGAACTTTCTAGCTGCACTGAAAGAAAGGAGAATACATGCTCCTGGCATTGAGCTTTTAAGGATTTGGTTCAGCTAAAACATGGTGTATGCATTTAATACAGTTCAAGAAAATGCACCAATATACATATAGAATTTCCGGTTATGTTTGCCCCTTTGCATAGACCCCACTGATCTATCTTACTTAGGAAAGAGAAGAAAAAACTTGGCACTGCAATATAAAAACCAAGAAATAAGTGGCAGAAGATGAGGAGGACTGGAATGAGAGGATGGGAACTGTTAACAGAATTACAGCAGCTGTGTAAGAGGACTATGCTATGGCACCATATAGTATGTTTTCTATGTGTATGTGAACGAGGCAGCTCACTAACCAGGAGCAAGAGCTGTTTTTTTTTTTTCCCCACTTGCAGAAATTTCTCCCATTCTAACGATCTGCTTCAAAACCATAAAAATGGGCTGTTATTTAATACAACAGCTTTTCCACACCCAAATTAACTCCAGTCAATTATATACCTTTTCTAAATAAAACAGTCATGTTGTACATTTCCTTCAGGTACCGATATTTTATTTATGCCAATGATTTTGTGGTTATTAGTACAAATCAAGACAGATTGCCTTTCAGAGATGTAATTAATTTCTGTCAGGTGCAAGTATTGTAACAGATACGCTAAGATTGTAGCTGTGGAGCAGAGACAAAATACCCATAATCTTATCTTAGAGAATGGTTAGTTTCTATTATTGTTTTAGCAATTTCAATGATTCAATCGGTTTGCTTAATGAAGATATGTTTGGAATGTTTGAATTAATAGAATACCAGCTCTCAGCTGTCAAAATCAGCGTCGTTTTTATTTAAAAATAGCCCTGTGATGGACACACCTCAGATGAGAACTATGAATTGCCTGTTCAGTGTAACAGCAGGGCAAATGCTGGTGTGAAACTGCAGCGACCCACATAAAAACTCTGCAGGATATAGAGTTCCCATGCAGATAGGAAGTCTTTGGAGACATTAATAGTAATTCCTGTATGCTAAGACTAGGATACTTCACAGTTTCTAAGTGGCCTGATCACTGATGTACTGCTCATAAGCAGATACAAGGGAAGAATGAAAAATAATGTCCTTCAAAGGATATACAGGGCTGTTCATAAAATGACTCGGGATAGAATTAGCTCTACAACCAAAGGCTGAAATGAATGTAAATACAAGCCCACTGCATCTGGTTTGAATATTTTAGGCTGCCCAGAGATGAACACAAATCCAGCAACATGACTTAAATTATTACACACTAATCGCATGCATCAAAATCTGATTCAGTTTTCAGCATTGCTAGTATGTTAAAAATTAAGTTGATAAGTAGATAAAACCTATCTATCAAAATTTTGCAGAAAACTGCAAATCCTGGGTTAGCATTACACATGGCCACTGTAAAACCTGTTTTAAATGAAACAGGGACTTCCCTAATTTCATTTCACAAAAGAGATTTAACTGTCATACCTTATTAAAAAATGTTTGATTCAAAAATGTTTTAATTTGTACAATAATATAAAAAGCAGTCTATTCAAGGAGCATATGATATTAACAACATTACTTAGGAAATGCTAATCTGTTCTTAGTATCCCTGAAAATGCTTGGCATTTTCTCCTTCTGCAGATTAGGAGTATGCAAAATGTTTCAGTTCAAATTGTCCTGAATGTGTAACTTTTATTTTTGAGCAGGAAACAGGCTGAATCAAACATCCTGAGAGTTTCTTGCTTGAGACACTTCCAAAATTCTTAAGATAGAAGTTATTCAAAGTTTCATGCTTTCAAATGGCATCTCCCGGCAGTATATATTGTGAAACAAAGACAAACCTTTATGCATAGAGTAAAAGATGCATAAAACGAAGAGATTTTATGTTGGGACCAACTGATTAAAGTGTGGGCTAGCCTTGTGAATGAGCATAAGCAGATTGGGTACCCCATTGTGGGGTAATGTTGGCTCAGCAGCATTCCATTCAAAAAATGAGCTGTATCAATGCAATGATGGTACATCAAGTCAGGTAATACACTTTGAGATGGTGATAAAGGAAACATAGAAAGCTAGAAAGAACTCTCAACTACTGCAGTAACAGCTAAGGAGACAGTAGCCACAAAAAGAATGGCAAGATCTTCATGTCCGCTGCATTTGGTGCAGCTTGTTCTAAAAAAGGGGAAAACATCTGGAAAATGTAACTATAATGGGATATACGTATGCTCCAAATTTAATAGTAATATTTAATTCAAAATACAGATATCCAGTGGAAGAAATAGAAATAACTATATATAAAATCTTGTCATTTGGACATTAGCATTCTACATATGGGCCACACAAATTACTGAACCCATTCAAACAGTTCATCCCAAATGATGCATTCTTTTCGGCGCCAGCATTAGGGCAATAGGAGCAAAGGGAGTGTCTTGGCCATTAAAATGGTGCCACTTAACAGCTGCAGAAATTTCTTCATTATTTTAAAACTGTAGTGGGATTGCAGCAATACATAAAAGTTCAGTGATGAAAAAAGATTAACATGTTGCCAAATATAAGCATACAAAAAAAAAAAAAAGCTATGAGTCCCACCTGATGGTCCAAATATATGGCATTCCTTTGTAGATGATGAGAAAGAATCTCATTCTAGCAACCAGCATTCAGAGGGGAAAGAGGAAAGAAAGGGACAGATATGAAGACATAAAAAGTCATTCAGAAAAGAAAAGAATATATCACACATCTTAACTTTAACAATTTTTAGATTATGTCTGCATATGTCATACATAAAAACTGAGAACCATATTAGATTGAGGGTAACTGTAAAATTTGCATTAGCATTTAGATGGATTAAATAATATTTCACTAACACAAAGGAACTGAAATAAAATAAAAAATTATACTGGTTTTTAAATTAAATTAATTTTAATGAATTAATTTAATTAATGAGATTTAAGTTAAATAAGGTTGCAATTGCTTTCAACTAGATGCATTAGGTACAAAAATTAGCTTTCAATATTAAAACAAAATGAAGAAAAAAAATAAGTCATGTTAATTCTATTCAAACTATAAACCCTTTGATAAACATGCATATATTTCCTGTAGCTAAAAACCAATTGCAAGTTGCCTCAGTGATGAGAAAAGAGTATGAAACAGTTATGTCAGGTTGTATTTCTGATCTCTCTAAACTATTCTGGCTTCAAAATTGTGTGCAACCTGAATAATTTGCAAAATTTGGACTCCGTGAAAGCAAAACGTCTTTGACTGGATTATTCTCTTCATTTTGATAGCAACGTATTTCACGTTCACACCAAAACTCAAAGGGTTAATAGCAGAACACCACAGAGAACCAGGAAAGCAAAATTCACATTAGAAAAAGGTAGCCCAGTGCTACAAAGTAAGTTTGAATGAGGGAAGATGGCACACGAGAAACATCACTTCATAGCTGACCTTTGGGCTGCTGGCCTCAAGTTTTAGCTGCATGAGTTGTGCTAGTGTGTGTTCCCGGATACTACTCAGTTCGGCTTGCTGCCTTCTCAGCTTTATGAGCAGCAGCGTGAGCTCCTCTGGCTACAGGAACATTGGGTAAGAAGCCAAGAGTGGAAAATTAGTTCATCCTTGTCCTGGACAAAACTTCTGTTTTACACTTGCATTCAATAATGCCAGCTAGCAGACTATAACCAAGTTAGGGTAACCCCTCTGGAATAAAGGGACCAAGAATGCCTTCCAACAAAATCTGCCTAAACCAAGGGGAACCAAAAGGTTTGGGGTCTGGAGTGAACTCCTCCAAAGTGCCAAACAGAGGGGCAAAGAGATGATGGGTGTGTGTGTGTGTGTGTGTGTGTGTGTGTGTGACTGCAGCTAGTTTTGTTTTGTGCATGTCATAGTAAATCATGGTTTAGGCATGATGTGCAAAGGAATGGAGGAAAAAAGTCACTGTGATCACAAACCAGGAAGAAGCCATAGAGGCTATGTGTATCCAAATGTCTTGATTATATTTTCAGAAAAGCAGAAGCTATGGAAACTGTTAACTGAGTCATTTATTCTAAGGCTGGCAAAAGAAAAAGCAAAGAATGAAATAATTCATAATTTTTACCAAAAAAGTCATATACAATTCAAGATGGCAGACTGAAAATACAATTCACTTTCTACGTTCTTTTAATACAGCTACAGTTCCTTCCCCTTTTCCCTAGACTATTTCTTAGCACATTTCAATATGAGCTAGAACTGAAGGTACAGAAAGGACATCTTGATGCTGGACGATGAAGGATAAATTGTGGCAGAAAGTGAAAACATTTTGAAAGCAACTACCATGTCACTGATCCATAAACCTGCATTCACAGAGCGAAAGGAGGTTATGGGCCTTTCAAACAGCTATTATATTTTTAAAGTATGAATACAGACAATGCTTCACAATTAGTTATTCTGCTCTGACATGTAGCAGGTTTTTTTTTTTTTTTAAAAACACCTTATGCAGGAATCTGGAGAACCAGGAAATTCCTCTACTTTTCCACAAGCATCTAGTGCCAAGAAGAATCCTAACCTTGAATATTTTAAGATAGACCATTCTCTTTCATTCAAGTGTCCTGATTTGCTCCATTTCCTTACTGTTATGTATCTTTTCCCCAACACAAGAAGTCACAATCTGGTTATATCATTTTTTTGGTTCCTTTATCGTGCATCCTGATCCCAGCTGCCTACAGATAGCTTTTTCATTACTTGCCTTTTTGACTTTGTCTTCCATTTCTGTAACTGCCTCTTTATGCTCCTGAAGTACTGCTTAGACTGATGTAGTCTTAGAGTCAGTCCCCACCACTTCCTACAAGTTAATCTCACTCTACTGATTCATGTATCAAGAGCTCACAAATAACCTTAGTTACCAAGCACATATCTTTGTTATATAGCGAACTGTAACCTTTCTATTATGTGCCACGTATAATTTCCCTGAGCCATGGACTTGTTCCCATGTCTGATTAAGAATATCCCATTATTTGAAGATGCATTTCTAGTATACAAGAACAGGACCACTTAGGAGCTTTGCAATTAGGGCTCTCAATTTTTACGGTTTTAGATCTGAACATCCACATCACACAGTGTTAAGACTTGACGGTGCATTCAAAGCACAGTATTAGCAATTGTGGTTGTGTTTAACAAAGCCCAGCAGAGGGAGCTACCTTATTTTCAGTACTGCATTATTTTCTTGAGTATTTTAAGTCTATGCTTACATCTGTGAATATCTAAGCAATCCACTGGTATTTCACCTGGAGACAAATTACTTTAAAATACACAGAAAAATACTCAGAAAGGAAAAAAAAAACCCATAGTCAACGTAGTCATGGTTGAATTCAATGAATTTTGGGAAACTGCAGAAATCTATAATCTGTGAACTAAATCTTTGGTACAGAACTGTCGAGTACTTCTAATAATGTGAATAAAATGTGTAATTTTGGGGTAAATAACGTTTTGTCATAAGACCACACAATGCATATCCAACTGCCTACTGCAGCAATTTTTTCTCTAATTGTGACTTCCATTATGAAATAATGAAAACTTCAGTAACTGGCATTTCCTCTCTACAATTTAATGCCAAGTCACTGTGAAATGGACAACAGTAAAATCTTTAAAAGTGCTCTACTGTTGTCCTAGAAGTGTCTAAATTATATAATGACAAGGGTCAAAAAGAGAATTATTCCCTTACAGGAAATATGCAGTTCAAACGACATTTAAAACAAAGTAGGAACAGATTACCCTTGCAAAATTTAATGTGTGCAGACAGAATTGACCTGTTGGGAAGGATACCCTTTATTTGCTGAAAGAATCAGGACAGGAAATTGCATTTCATGTAGGCTCTGTAACTAGAACAGTTGTCAGGCTGTATCTTGTATTTTATAGGTTGTTCTTAAATAAAAAATGATGGGTTAAATATAAAAATGCCACTCACAGTTTTGCCTTGCAAGCTCTGGGGAGTAATAGGCTGTACGCTCAGGCCTGCTGGAATCGACCTTCTGTCAGGCACAAAGACATGCTGCTGGGGGGGGGGGGGGGGGAATCAAACAAACCATGCACTTTGTAATTCAGGGCTTTTGGAACCAAAGGTTAGGTGTGATATTTTAAATATGCTTTTCCAAGTCAACTTAGGATTTATGAAAAGTGTCCAAAGTGAAGGTGTTGGTTAATAACTTGTCAGAACAAATACCCTGAAAGGTTGCACTTTCATCTCAAACTTTGCAAATATCAAGACGCCCCAGAGGAGATCATCCTACTGAAACTAACGCATGTATTTATTTTAAAACTTATTTGCCACCCTATTTTGAGGAAGGCAGCAAATAGGTGAAAAATCTATTATATAGACTCATATCCAAATATATCACCCTAATACAGGGTTCCTCAACCTTGGCAACTTTAAGACAGGTAGACTTCAACTGGCTGGGGAATTCTGGGAGTTGAAGTCCACCTGTCTTAAAGTTGCCAATGTTGAGGAACCCTGTCCTAATACATTTATGGGTATGATTCTTCCCTCCACATTGCTTAAATCTTTCAGGAGTTGGGGGAGCAGATCATGGGCACAGACAGGAGGATGGAGAGGGAAGAGAAAAGCAAAGGGTAGATAACTACTCACATTACATACATTTTGTATCACATCTCTAAAAGCATATCCCACTCTTCATATGAAGATAGTAAAACCACAACGTGAAATATGTCCCACAACATTATGGGGCCTCTAATTTTGTTTTCATAAAGCCAACAGAATGCTCTCTTGTAAGTCATAGTCTGAGTGGAGGGCTACAGATGAACCATAGTGCAATTAACTCTGGGCAGTCTTTCAAACAACAGTTTGATGGACTGCAGGGGAGGCCTGTTATATTGTCTCTATAAGCCCACTGAGTTAACAGCATAAGATCAGCAAAGCCATATTGATGAGGGGGAAAATTATAAAAGAAGAACACCATCCACGGTTCCAGGATGGTATGTTCCACAAAGTCTGGGGAGCGGCCCCTAGACCACATCCAAAATATAATGCCAAATGGCGTATTTTTTTTTCATGTGGCAGAACAGCAAAATGATTAAATACAACAGGTATTGCATTTACTGTATTTAGCTGGTCAAATGTAATTTTTAGAATGTAACCACAGCATGCCACAAAAGGGTAACATAATTCTTTGTCTACTATCAGTTGCATAAGGAAGGAAAGCTAGCCAAACCATCCATTAAAACAGATACCCTCGCGGTCTGTAGATAGATTTCAGGGGAGTCTGTGAACTTGGATGGAAAAAAAAAACTTGTAATTTTATTTTCATTATTTTCTTTTATGCATTTAAATATATTTTTCTGAGTAGGAGTCCATAGGTTTCCCCAGACTGTCAAAGGGGTCCATGGCAAAAAAAAGATGAAGAAGCCCTGCATTACGGGCATTTTGCAAATAAGAGACGGGTCTTCTAGAGTGGCTGCTATATATCTTTTCTACCTTTTATGAGCCACAAATTACAGCATATCATAGAAAACTAATAAATAAATAAATAAATAAATTGCAGCATATTATAGAAAACCAACCAACCAATCATTAAACCCCCAAACCCTCACCTTGGTATGATGCGGTCTGTGTCTACGGTCAATGGTTACATCTCCTCTTTGTACTGGGGAGGACACTTCTGACCTGTAGTTCCTCTGAGGAGAATATCCTTGGAAACCTGCTATTGAACCATGGGAAGGTGACGTGGGAATCAAATGCATTGGTTGATCAGATATATTAATCATGGTTTTGGGACTACTTAAAGTACCGTGTCTAGTAAGAGTTGTTTGCTTATTGTAAAACTGCCGTTGTTGCCATTCGTAGAGTTGCCACATGGTGTCATCTCGCATTGATCTTCTTTTATCTTCTGCTGGCAATGATCCAAGGGTCTTATCATAAAGAGGTGTTACACTGCAGATGCTATCTGGCCTGGTTTTAGTGTTTCTTGGTAGGGTGCGATAACCTTCTGGATAACGAGGTACAACTTGGGCTCGATGGCTTGGCATATTTCTTGGTAAAGTCTGATATGAAAGTATGCTGAAACAAGAAATCTTCATAACTACAGTAGTTCAGAAAATAATTAGGCACATTATAAGAAACATTTAAACTTCCTTTTTCCGTATTTTATCTCTCCAGGTAATTTAGTCTTGCAATCTACTTGCAACATTAACTCAAAGAGTTAAAAATTTAGTCCTCACTCCTTCCACCCAAACCAAAAGGAAGCTGCTCTTTAGCTAAGGTGAGACCACTAGCAGTCCATGTGTAAGTTCACGGCAACATACAAGGGCCTTTCTTCAAGTAAATAGCGAAGTGTTTGGGAAAAACAACAACAGTAAGCACTGTATTTTATGATTCAAATAACTGTTTCAAGAGAGAATATTTGTTTCTTGAGCTTGGTGGAGTATGTGTTCATGGAAACAGAGCAAAATGCATGCTAGTCCTCCAGTTGTTCTCCTTTAACCTCAATATATACATTGTGATACAACTACTAGAATTTTAGCCGGCCTGACCAACTAATAATCGCAGTTTCAACAAATCTGGGAAGAACCAAACTGGAGAAGTTTATCCTAACCTATTTTCTTTTGCAACATACATTTCCAGGGATTGCCACAAAGAAGATGAGTGAATCCAAAAGTGATAAACTTTAATTTTATAGTTATAATCTTCTGTGCACTAGAAAATCATATCTCCAAATGTTTACACTGCAGGTAGTTTACCTCCAAGATCATTATCTTCTCTTAGGAAAGAGGTATCCTTGGTGGTATTTGGCTCAAAGTCTATAAATCTGAATCTACGGATTTTATTAATTCCTGTAAAACATATAGCTGCAACATATGCATGGTCTGTATACACAACTGCAGCCTTACAAAGGTTTTTGGGTAACCCTACAGATCTTTTTCAACTGCTGAAAACTTTCGGTATAAATAAGTTAGCATTAAACTCAGTAAGCTAAAGTATTCAAAATAGAAGAGGATTGGAGAGATGGGAAAACATTTTTTTTTAAAAAGATAATGATATTTAAATATTACTTTTATATGAACAAAGCACATTACTGATTGGGGCAGCAAAGATGCACATGGCCTTTGTAAGGATGCGGAACCAACTGCATAATCTATAAACTGTTTGGAGGGAGAGACACAAGAAGTAGAAACACAAATGCTCTCTAATGCACACAGACTTTTCATAATTAAGGGATAGGGCACTATTTATTTATTTATTTATCAAATTTGTCATCTCGCTGCAGAACGACTCGGGGTGGTTTAACAGTAAAAAGAATAAATATTAATTAAATAGAATAAATATTAATTAAAATACATTACAACAAAACTTCCTATATAAATAATAAAAATATCCTCCTAAACTACTTCTCCAGAGGCCATAATGACTTTTATTTGGAGATCTATACCTTACATAAAAACATAAGCAGTGTCCTGGTGGATCAGATCCGGGCCCATCTACTGCTATCTGTTCTCACAGTGGCCAACCAGTTGCACAAGGAAACCCATTAGCCTCCCAGCAGATGGCCTTTGTCAAGGCTAATAGTGGTTGATCCCCATGACTTCCATGAATTGGTCCAACCCTTTTTTGAAGCCAGCTGAGTTAGGTAGCCAGCACAACATGTTTGGGCTGCTGCCTTGTGCTCACGTGCTCTGCATGTGTAATGAAGTAAGTTGTGTTGGCAATCACTAAAATAAAAGGAAGGGACAATATGAAGAGCTGCAGAACATGGTTTTGGTGAAATTCAGTGGACTCGATCTTTCAGTAGCCTGTTCAGTATGCATAGCAATACAGCTATCCAAATCTTGCTTATCTTATTTATTCTGAAGGTTAACACCTTCTTGATACCTTCTTACCAATTATTTCATGAAACATGCTGCTTCACATTCTCCTTTTAAAACCACAAAGTTACTTTTTCCAGGTATACAAATGAATTATTCTGAAATCCTCCTCTAGTACTTTGCTCTACAAAGATAATGTTATGAAATACTGTTGACCACTTGCAACTAAGTTCTCATCTATCCAATTAACTATTTCTAATCAAATGTGCATCTGTCTGCTAATTTTTATCTTTGTTATGCTTTTATTTAAGGATAGTGCACCAGATATCCTTGCAGCTGAAACAATGTCTTAACTGATTAATAGGTTCACCTCTGCAGTAAATCTCAATTTCTAACATCTGCTTCATACTGAAGAGTGTTAGAGTAAACACCCTACAGTATGGAGACTAAAAAGAAAAAAAAAAGCCTTTCACTTTAATAGGACACGGTGATTATAAATTGGGACAAAATGTATATATAAAGGAAAGTGGTGCAAAGACTGGCTATACTCACAAAACTGGAGACAGATGCTTCTTGTGTGACCTTGTTACCCATACACAACTATCTCCAGTGGATCTACCAATTTGCTGCTGTTCCTAAACCCATGGGAAAGGGGTGAAGATTTCAGAGGTCATTAGTGCACCACATGCTAGACAGCTCAAGCTGCAGTCACTGAATTCCCATTCTGATTGTGCTTAAGGCCTTGTGCTCTAGCAAGGTTTCATTGATTCTCATGTTCTTAAAAAGAAGACAGCCTGCCTAGTTTCTTTACACCTGTGAAGGAGTGAGACAGAATTCTTTATCTGGCTCCCTCTAACCTAGTTTCTCCCCCTTTCTGTATCTAGTAAATAAGTAGCTTATATGTTATTCCTTATCTCCTTCTCCCTAGATCATTGGCTTTTCATGCAGCTGCCTTCTGTAAAGGGAAAGGAGGCAGAGGAAAATGTGGCAGGTTATCAGGGTGTGGGAAATACTATGGCAAACCAAGTCCCAATTCTCACAGGACTTATGGGAACAGGTTTACAAGTGGAATGATTGCTTGCCATCCCCCCACCGCCAAAAGGTTTTCAGAAATAACTTTTGAATTCTGCAAACTGACTTGAAATTATGGAAAGGTAGGATAATCACTGTTAGAGGTTTTTATGGGAAGAGATTTGTTATTTCCCTGGGGGCAATGGCTGATCTTTGTAGGTAGGGGCAGAAGAAAAGTCCTCTCCATCCCATTTTTACTCTTTATATTTTGTTGACTTCCTGAAATTAACATTATATTGACCTTAGTAGCATATGTGGGCATATAAAGGGGGAAAATTACTTTTCATATTTCCTAAAAGAGAAAGCAGGCGTAAATCCTGCCGGTCTTGACAAATTCACTTTAAGCAAAATCAGTATTTCTAACTATATGGTCCTTGTTAATAATTTCATCCATATTTAACTAGATGTTCTCCATGATCAAAAGGATTTGTTTCCTGCCAATTAATAATGTGTTGTTAATAGCTTTTGCCATTATAACACTTCTACAGTGGAAAGAAATTGATTTGGAGAACAGCCAATGCAATGCAACAGCATTAAGGGGTAGGTTCAAATGGGGGAGGTTGCCAGTTCCTATGCCTGCTTAAATTGAAAACAGTGGCATTTGATCCAAATGTCAATTTTTCCTTGACATGTTCCATTACATATTAGAATGCACTTAACAACCTAAAAAATATTCTAATTTTTAAATTATAATACAGAAACCAGACACTGAGATGGGCTAGAAACTGGTTAAAGACAACTACAGCAAGCATTAAGAAGCCATATTATTTTTAACCCTGAAAAGGGAAGGATTTCCCTCCCCTCTATGAGAAGGAATTGTTTGCAATTTAATCTTTTTAAGAAACTCTGACTCAATTTTAGCACCTTATCTCATTAGAGTCTCTGCCATGGAATCTTACATACAGTATCACTGCTTTAAGTTTATTAAAAGTTCTGCTCTGAGAGAGGCGGAGCTGGCGTCGCGGCGGTACGGTGTGCGATCTGGAGCTCCCAAGATCGCAGCTGATACCTCCGGTGCGGGACGGTCCCGAAGGACCTAAGCCGTCCCGTAGAGACGGC